GTCGCTGACATCATTTATTATTGCTAATCTGGTCAATTCTACTTTTAGTCAACAGCACTGATGCAAATGAAAAACAGCAGTTTCTTTCAAACTTTTGCCAAAATTTTTGCGACCTAACCACAACCTCCCGTTTTTCATCACTAAAATGTTAGTAATTCTACCCCAACAAAAATAAAATAATTTCATTTCTTTCCAACGACAATACCAGATATTTTAAAAAGCACCATATTCTCTGTGAAAGATTTCAATGAAAAAATCCAAGTAAGACTTTGTCATAACTTTTTTTCACTTTCCTAGCAACAACGTCAATAAAACAGAAATCTGATGTAATCCAGCACGGATTAGCTGTGAACTGCTTTCTGGAATCCTAGATCACATTTCTGATGTCCTTAAGCGATGCAGTAGTTCACAGATATGCCACCTTGTCACTGAGGCACACTCATGAAGGGATAGCAAACCCCACTTTTACACAGATACTATTACTGTGAATAAGTTTGAATGACGTAGTATCACAATTCTGAGTAAGCTTTAAAACTAAAAAGGAGAAAAATTAGCAACTCTGTGAGAGGAAAAATGCAACAATCTGAACAGTGGGTCATTATCGTATGTAGACATTAATGCATATTTTATAAATCATTTAAGGACACGTTGATGCTGTTTCCATTTTTAGAAACACTTCAGCAAATTCAGTGTCCTAATCACCTTCTTTTTAAGATCACTTCATTATTTTAAAGAAACACAGTTAAGAAAAAAGCCAACGACATCACCTTCTGTCTCAACCAGGCATAGGGCTGACTTGAGCAACTTTCAGACAAGAATCCCTCATGAAAGAGACACTTTTTGTTCTTCGGATGTTGTGATTCCAACTGATTTTTGAGACTCCATTGACTATCTGCACATGATCGTTTGCTCAGCATTTGTCTATCCCTTCTCTGCAACTGACATGTCAGCACTAATTACTGTGCGGTGTGAACTGACCTTTATGGCAGCCATCTCAGGGCTGTGCTGCTTCTGACACCTTCTACTTCAGCCTTTCTATTCCCTTCTGCCTGCAAAAGCAGTCTGGCCAAAAAATAACTTGTCAGAACAAAGAGATTCATTTTCAGACAGATCGGTTCTCTGGGTTGGTTCACCACATGGTGAAACGTTTGTGCCGATATAATGGAGGATGTGGGAAAGTGCGGTTAGAGCTATGACAGCTTCTTGCAGCAGCCAGAACTGAGTCTCACAGAAATAGTGAAACCAGAGCTTTTGAAAATTAGCTGGACTGAAAACAGAGCAGGAGATGAGGAGGCCCAGACAGACACAAATGAGAGCTCTTTGACAACCTGTTTTACTGGTTGGTCTTGTATCCTCCATATACGTGCTCCTCAATACAATATGAACACGCTCCTCAATACAACGTTAACACATGGGAGAACAAAAAAAGGTTCCTGCTTTTTCTAGATTTTCCTATGTGTCTACACTGGCTCAGCCCTAACAGAAATAACTGCTTGTGCTTAACTTCACTAATTCTGTAGATGACACTAAAATACATTTCACAAGATGCTTTGCAGTAGTTGCCTTGTACCTGCTGTAAGGATCCCCCAAGCGCAAATCGCTTCTTTCGTGGCAATAGCTTCAAAGGAACTAAACTGTGTAGCAACACAAGCAGCTAAGCCAGATACAATGATAAAAACGCAGGGTTTTTAGTACAACTCCATCCCCACAAAGCGTTTCTGAAACCACATCACTTAACAGCTACGCCTGTGGGAATCTGGAGTGTAATCCCCACCGTTAAAGTGAAGCCCTCCTTAAACTTTCTTACAAGATCAGGCCATCACCTTCTGAACAGTGATTGTATTACATTTGCACAGCGCATGGTGCTGAGAAAGTAACGATGGATGATCCTTAAATAGTCTTCACGGCAGACTGTAGTACAAACAGAGAGCAGCAGTAACACCCATGTGCAAGTGCATATTTCTGTGGTGTATGAATAAACGGCTTAATAAAACTGTGCTGATACATCTTTGGCCCTGATGGTCACAAAGCAGGAAAGATTTATTAGTGCCATAAAGTATCTGATTCACGTAGGACCATATAACAGGCTTATAGCAGATGAAGTAGGATTTTTCTATAATCACACTTTTTCTAGCCTACAAAGTTTCCCTTTTTTCACTTCTTCCATGATCTTTGCACAAAACCTTATGAATCCAATTTCATCTAGTCCATTAGTGGCATGGCTGTTTCTCTTTCC